CTGCATGGCATGGAAGGAGGCACGGCTCATCCCGGGGAGGAGGAAGGTGTGTCAGCAGAGCCCGCTCTGACGCTGACTGATGGTGTTCAATTACTTGTGGGACTGTCCTAAGTTTTCTTCTTTCTTCAATTATTTAAAAAGCAATTATTCAATTATTAAAAAAGCATAAAACAATAAAGAAGGACTGGGTTCTTTTCAGGAGGAGCAGTTTTCCAGCTGGCCACACCGCGGTAGCAATGTTATCACCACGGAAGTAGCGCTGGAAGGCAGAGAGGACTCTCCTGACCTCTACAGTCAAAATCCTCTCTAAAATCGAAATCATCCACAAATTGTACTAATTTATGTTTTTTTTTCTGCTGACATTTCTTGGGAAATCCAGAACTCTCCATGGTGAGAAGAGCCCAACAAAAATTCAGTTCTTCAGATCATCAAAAGCTGGTGCTGGTGGGGGGCGTAGGGACGAAGCTGCTTTCAGCTGAAATGGATCTATTTGCAGGAATTAAAGATGGGAGAAAGCCACAGGCACCTCGTAACCTTTACCTTGGGAACAGAGGCCTCGGGAAGCAACCCCCAGGGAAAGGACCCCGGGAAGGGACCCCCAGGGAAGGGACCCCTGGGATGGGACCCCCTGGGAAGGGACCCCGGGAAGGGACCCCTGGAGAAGGGACTGCTGGAGGAGGGATCCCCGGGATGGGACTGCTGGAGAAGGCATCCCTGGGAAGGGACCTCAGGGAAGGGACCCTCCAGGGAGCGGAGCCCGCGGCCCGACCAGCGGCTGCTCTGCAGGGTGCTGAGTGCCCGCGTGGTGCCCGACCCTCCCAAGGGGTCCCACGGGTGGGTCCTGCCCACAGGAGAGGGCTGATGCCCACGGGACAGGGCTGATGGTGGCATCCTGCTCCCGTCAGCCCTGCCCTGGCTTTCCCCCGCTTTCTGCTGGCCAGGGCTTCCTTCTCCCTGGCCAAGCGCTCGTGTCGGAGGAGCCCTATTGATTTCCAGCATGGGATTGTAGGGATTGATCGATGGCCGACACGGATCCTGCCCGGCTCTGTGCTGCAAGTGTCCTGTTGGTCACTGAGCTCGCTTGTGATGTTTGTGGGGGAAGTTTTCCTTTTCTTAATTTTAAGTGCCATTCATCTTGGAACGGCAGTGGAAAGAAGGACAACGGCTCTTTTCTTGTTCAGCCTCAGAGGAGAAGGTAGGGACTTTGGTGGCACCGTACCAACCGCGGAACACCCTCGGTGTCACACAAGCTGGTCTGTAATTTTCACAGGCTGTTTTTTAATTTGGCTCTTCTAAGGCCTCGCTGCCCTTGCCAGGGGCTTGGCCCTCCTGATTAGTTAAGGACACGAAACATTTGCTGTTTGAAACTGGAAATAACGAGTGAGACGTTTTCCTGGGCTGGGATACTGGAGGCATTTTCAGAGTCCGAGGCTTTTAGAGGAAATACCATGAATGAAAAAAAATCCCAGGTATGTCTTTAGCTCCTAGATGCTCTGGAAAAGCCATTTGCTGATTCAGCTGATAAGGGGCCCAACAAAAGGGAAGTTGGACCTACCAGCCTTCCTCTGCCTTCCCTTCCTAATTTTACACATCGTCTGCTGAAAGGTGTCTGGATCATATCTGATGGGACAGCCAAGACATGGATGAGGTTTAGAAGGGTTTCTGGATTTCAGGGACAAAATGTAGCCCGAAGCCCAACCGAAAAACTCTTTTCTTCTGCTCCAGCACCAACAGGTAAAGGGTGCTGGTTCCCTTCTCTCCTGCTCAGCTTCACTGCTAAGCAGCGTTGCTGCTGCATGGTGCAGAAGGCATGGAAATGAGAACGTTGGAACAAAGGTTAGGACACTGAAACCACCGATAATCCACTGAGATGTATTGTTCCAGAGGGAACAATCTCAGTTCTCCCACGTGCCCATCTCAGTTCTCCCACGCATACTTATTCCCTTGACCAATGTTGAGTTCATGGCTGACTTGGAAGGGATTGGCTCGGTGGGTTTCCAGTTCAGTGGGCTGTGAAACATGGAATGATGTTTTTGGTGATCTCACACCTGAGTCGAACCAAGAGAAACTAGAAGCTTATCCTGGAAACTTAGCAAGTATTTGAAATCCATTGCTTAATGGAGAAACACTGGGTCACTTCTCTTTGTTGAGAGACCGTGTTTAACCCCAGCCAGGCTTTGCTGGCTAAGAGCTATTGTCTCACCAGGAAAACAGCCTGCAGGGCTCAATGGAAAGATATGATTCTGGAGGAATTACCAGCCACAGGCCAGCCTTCCAGCTGGCCCTGTCCTAGCTTCTGCTGGGTCCTCCATCTATTGGAAAAGCCTCTGTATTGCATAGTTTCAGATTAAAACCCAAAAGCTGATGGTTTATATAATGTAGCATTAAATCTTTATGCGGAAAATGAATTTACTTTGGTTCTTTATTCAGAAAGATTCAGTGTGAACATGTTAGTTTGAGAGAGTGGATTAACAGGTGGGCAAACAGTTTTGCTCTGGCTGGGAAGTTCTCTGCATAGACCACTACCAGCAAGCTAAAAAGGAACCGGCCCACATTCCTTCTTGCCTGTCTAGTCCCATCTAGAAGGAAGGCATCCCTCACTTCTGCAACAGATTCTGTGCCTGCATCATGATGGTGCTGGAAACAAGTCCTCCGGAGGAGCGATCACAGTGTTTGTTTAATGTGCAGAGGAACACCACGTAGTTCTCCATCTCAGTGCTCAGACAGGACGCGGGGTAAGAGCCTTTCGGTGGGTGGCTACTCGTGAGCACAAGTACTGATTTCATCCCAGCTGGAAAGATGAGTTAAGGACTGGGTCTCAGTAAGCTTTCCCTCCTCTCAGGGGAGACAAACTGGAATTTCCCAAAGTGGGTCACAACGTGTACATGCCCAAGTCACTATCCACAGGTGGCCACCCCCGCACGGACTATATGGACCACCTCTGGTGAGCCAGCTCCGAACAGGTGCCCGGGTGACCCGCGCAAAGCCGGGAGGGATGGTGTGGCACAGCCCCAGAATTGGCAGGGATTGCCTCGCAGGAGGCACAGGATGCAGGTGTAGGACTGATGTAGGGTTCCTCACCTACCAATTGCCTTTCATTCGGAAAAGACATACAGGATTTAAGGGTCCTGGAACCACCCCTTGTACACCGAGAGGTGATGAAGACTTCCCAAGCGCTGGAGATACGGGAGGGTTTTACTGGGAAAGAAAAAAAATCCCTCTCTGCAGTTTTGCAGGCAGGGCTGTTTACAGTAACTGATAGGTTTTTCATCTGGCCAGCATGACTAACTAACCATGATCCGAAAAGTGCCCAGAAGAGCACTAAGAAAAGCACACATTTTGCAGCTGAACTTCCTCTTCTTCCTAGACTCAGCACTTCGGCATTCTGCACAGAAAAAAGCTTTAAAAAAATATCTAGGCAGAGTCCTTCTGGGGAGTGGGCGCCCAGATGTTACCCCAGGATCCTCATAGATTTCCACGAGATATTTTTTCTATTTGTGGTGGCCTTTCAGCTGCTCAGAAGGCATCAACCGTGAGCTGAAATTTAACCTGTGTACTAATCACTGCCACAGAAACACCTCCTGCCTCGTGGGCTCCGTTGGTATTAAAGCTTCTACTTTGACTTCAAGGGGTGGGAACTTTCCTGTCCTTGGAAATGAATAGTAAAGCACCAATGAAGAAAGGAATCAGATTTTCACCGGGACAAGTCCCTTATGAAAAAAAAAATGCTTGCTGTTCCCTCACAGGCTGCAGGCCAGCTGGGAACTATCCGACAGATTCTCCAGGTTGTCCACCATAGTGATGATGGTTTCTATTCTTTCTTCTGGAAGCACATGAGAGGCGTTGGATCGAAACTTCTTCAGGAGCGATTCTTTGCTCAGAGGCTTCCTCCAGTGCCCATAGAAAGTGTCACATTTGCCTGTCAGGACATCCCCGCTGTGCAGGAGCAGTGCCACCTCTCCGTACATCTTGTCGAAGTTGGCCATGTTATCTTCGGGGTGCTCCACCACCACTTTGTCCAGCAGCTCCCTCAGCTCCTGCCGATGGATGCTGCTCTCCGTGAAGGAGCTGAGGCCCACTTCACCATCCAACAGGGCAGCACAGGCATTGAACTGGAAGGAGTGTCTAGCCTGGTGTTCAGAGCTGGGGAAAGGCCGGTTGATGTACTTTGACACTGGGATCTTCAGCACAATGGTGCGGATCAAAGAGGGAGAGAAGGACCCTGCGTAGTTGATGAAGAGGTTCCGGACGGACAAGGCAGCATCCACCACCCAGTGCATCCCCAGGTGGGCTGGGAATCGCTTGAAGGCGATATCCTGCTTCTCCAAGAGGAACTCATGATGGTCACTTGGTGTGGACAGTGGTTTGGGTTGATAGACGCTGTAGAAAGCACTGAATCCAGAGCAACCAGGGATATCATCCAGAATTAAGGGGTTAGCCTCCATCCCTCGAGCTGCCAGCAGCGCTGCTTCGAAGCCCAGGCGGGTGGCATTGCCGACGTGCAGTGGCTTGGCTTGGGTGGCCGCGTTTGCCATGGGTGCCCCTGCAAGCGACGCAGCAATGCCCAACGCGTGCGCGCACTGTGCCATGCTGAGAGACAGCAGCTTTGCGGTGGCTGCAGCGCTGCCCAGGGTTCCGACCACCGAGGGAGGGTGGAACCTAAAGGGGAAACGGCAGATAGGAGCATCGCTGCCTGCTTGGCACAGGGAGCACCCAAACACCTACCAGACCTGTCTACGGGACTGGAAATGAACGGCCAAGTCGGCCAGTGGAAATCCCCCATGGCTCTGGTGCGGGTGGCATTCTCCTAACTCAAAATCTAGTCATCTGAAAACTAAATGTCTACTTGAAACTTCATTGGAGGCATCAGAGTGAGCTTAGCATCTCCAGAAATCTGGAGAAAGCTGGAGAGGGGCGTTTGGAAAGGGCGTGCAGTGACAGGACAAGGGGTTAATGGCTTTAAACTGAAAGAGGGGAGATTTTGGTGAGGTCTAAGGAAGAAACTGTTCACTCTGAGGGTG